CCGCTCCCTCCGTCATCCTTCCCTCCTCCCTCCCTCCCTCATTTTTGACTTTTCCCATTCTCTTACCCTCTCCACCCGCCCCTCTCTCCTCCCTCCTTCTTTTCAGCCCTCCCACTCCCTCCCACCGCATGTACGCGTCACAGCTTCCCCATCCGGCGTAGCAGTACATTCAATTTAGGGTGAGTCGCAGTGAGAGAGGGAAGGAGGGAAGGAGAGAGAACCGCTCGCCTCCCCGCCTGCCCGCCATCCATCCGCGCGCATGCAGGCGACTGCGCTCCAGCGCATTCTGCGCTAGGCTACCGCATTGCTTGGCAACAGCGCATCACGTGACCGGCGCCTACTGCCGCCGGTGGAGTTCAGGCGGCTTCCCTGCAGTCTATCGGCGAGCTGCACGCCCTCACAGTGAGACTGACACGCAGCGGCGCCGAGCGGCGGCGAGAGACTAGCAGACGAGAAAAGCCACAACGGCGGCATACGAAGGCGGATGAGGATGAGGATAATGATGATGATGAAGAAGAGGCGTTAGTAATAGCCACACGCCGCTACCTCCGCTGGATTTTGCCGAGAAACAATTCGCGCGTGTTTCTCCGTGAGTGCGTGTGCGTGCGCGTGCGTGTGCGTGCGTGTGACGGCGTCGACGTGTAACTGCTGTTCGTGTGTGTGTGTGTGTTTTGCGTGTTTTCGACTGCGGCGCGGCCTGCGTTATCGTCGTTCGTGTGTTTGTGGGGTCTTCTTCCTCTTCAAAGTCGTGTGGATTAACGTGTTGTTCGTGTGTGCTCGTTACGCAGGGTTGCGGTGCCAGGGCTAGGTGATACGCCCCACCCCGTAACCCGTGGAATCGCGGCTGGGAGCAGGCCCTGGAATCGGGCTACATGCCAACGTATAGCCGCCATGATGTAAAACTGCGAGAACGTACGCGCGCAGTTGCTGGTATATACATATATTTATTATATAGTGTGTGCTATTATAAATATATATGTATGTATCTAATATATATATATATTTATCCATGTATCCATCTATACGGAAGGATTTTGCTGACTGACACTCGACTGTGCGTGTACGCGGGAGCAGCTATGGTGTTGTTCGTACTCGGAGCCTGTCGTCTGTAGACGTGCATGTGCTCGCCTCTGCCTCACTCTGTGCAGTAACATCAACTGCGGGAGCATCTTCCGTACGGCAGCGTATTCACGCAAACACGCGTGTCCCGTCGGCGGGGTGGCGGTGGCGGCGGCAGCTCAGCAATGTCGCTAGCCCGCGAGTGCCGTCTCTCTGTCGTCACCGAACGCGTGCTGGTGGAAAATGGACGCCGAGCCGTCAGCGGCACCAACTGACACGTCACAGACGGAGTCCGCCACCGCCGCCGTCGTCGCCGCCGCCGCGGCAATGGAGCCCCCCGCCGAACAGCGGATGAGGAATGCAGACCGCGAGGCCAGCATGGAGTCCGGCGGTG